CCATTTAATTAGTCCCACCTACCATAAGTAACTCTTAATTTATAAAGAAATAAATTAACTCTTATTTAATTTTATTAAATCAAATCTCACATACTATAATTATTTCTTAATTCATAAAAGAATCAATTAACTTTTATTTAATTTTATTAAATGGAATTTAATAATGAAAGAATCAATTAGGAAATAATTACAATTTATTTTAATAATTCAAACAAAAAAGAAGGTCGAGGAAGAAGAACCAAAAAATTATTTTAATTTTATTTTAATTCCATTTAATAAAATTAAATAAAAGTTAATTAATTCTTCCGTGAATTATGAAATAATTATAGTAAGTGAGATTTGATTTAATAAAATTAAATGAGAGTTAATTTATTTCTTTATAAATTAAAAGTTACTTATAATAGGTGGGACTAATTAAATGGGAAAATATATTAATTGTTTTAATTTTTAAATATAAATAAAGTAAAATTAAGAATTAAAGTAGTTTTTAAATTATTTAAAATTTAAAAAAAAATCTACATAATCATCTTTTACATGATGGATTTTCCACATAATATTGAAAGTGTAAAATAGTCAATCACTTAGCAGAAAAATTAGCTACATCAGCACTTAAATAATGGAAAGACGAAGTTGGTGCTGAAAATTGAAGTTGAAGGACATTTTTGATACTTTCTAAAGTTCAAGAATGAATTGGTTCAAAAATAAAAGTTGAGGGACCAATTCAGGATTTAACCTAAAAAAATATGTTAGCCACGTCAGCATCACCACCCAATTAATCATTAAATAGAAAAAGTTGAAAATTGATATCCTTAAATAGAAAAAGTTAAAATGTGACATTTTTAAATAGAACAAGTTGAAAGTTGACATTTTTATTTAGAAAAAATTGAAAGTTGACATCCTTATTTAGAAACAGGTAAAGTTAATTAACATCCTTAAATAGAAAAAAAATGCAAAGTTGATATTTTTATTTGCACCTTTACTCATGGTTGGCCCTTTCTTCAAAGTCGGAGGATTATTATGAATTATTTTAAAATAGAAGGATGACAATGACTTATTTTGTAAAGTTGGAGGATTTTTAGTGACATTAAGCCTAAACTTTTATTACTACATCTAATGCCCCATCTGGTCCAAATAAGTTGTACTTTGACATTAAAAAGCTAAACTAGATCAACACTAGTTTGCTATACTTCTACCCTTCTAGCTTGCAGCAACTTCATCTTCACAAAATGGAGGTATGTAGCTCTAGTATCATGGCTTTTTGGACAGCATTTCATTTTTCTTCCCATTAAAATTTTTGAGTGTTGCTCACATAGGATAAAGTGCTTCATGCAGCATTTTGTGCATTTGAGTTTTCTATTCATGGCTGTCCCTTCTTCTCAGACTTGACCTCTTGCTTGAACAATACATAATGGTCCACACATGAAGCGCTTGTGCAGTAGTAATCATTTAGTCTTGGCATTTACATTCATCTTTCAACTTCACAAAGGAACAAGGCATCTCCCCCAACAATCATCTAGCTTGCCACCACAACTGTCTCAAGAGCAGTTGGATGGCACCAAAGCACAAATTCAACTTTTATTGAACTAATATTTTCTGCCCTCAAATGAAGATGTCCTTTGATTGGTCATTTGCCTTCTAGGTAATCATCATGGGTGTCTTAAGATGATAATCATTTTACCTACTTTAATTTTTATTTTAGTCTTGATTTTCTTACTATTTAAATAAACAATATGTGATTTTCAATAGATTTTATATAATTTTATTCTTTGTGCAAAAAAGTACTTGAATGCATAATAATAGGAGTTTTGAAGATTAATTGAACATCTTTTGAAAGTTGAGGGACTGAATTGTGGGAAGAAAGGTTCTTGTGACCTAAATGAATGAATCTTAAGTAAATGGGATCAAAGTGACATTGTTTAAAAGCTGGAGAACCAGATCTGCAATTCTATCATTTACGAAGCTGCAAAAAGGGGCTAGAAACTCGATACGAGTATGGTATCAACACATACTTCGTAGTATCAGCACTGTGCAGTAAGCTTTTTTTTTTTTTTTTTTTTCTTCTTTTTCAACATGGAGAATTTGAGAGTAGATAGTAATTTTCAAATAATTAATGAGAGTAGAACTCTAAAATTTTAAAGATACAATAAGTTTGAACTTCAGTTCTTCTGGTTACACAGAAGGTCTTCTCCTACCTACTCTCAAACATATTTTACTATGCGATAAGCATTTGATAAAACAAATTTACAAGAAATATATAGAATTTTAACTTTTAGTATTACTAAAAATTAATTTTTTTTTCGTTAATTAATTTAGTTAATTCATTCATTCAAATTGTTCAAATAAAATTAAAATCAATTAATTTTACTAATTAATTAATCTATCATTTTTATAAAATGATATTTAATTTTTATCATATTACTCAAATTAACTGATACTCCTGCTAGGGAGAAATTAACTCATCATCCTAGTCCCAAGAAACCCACTTCAGAACCGTCCACCACTGAAGGCATTTTTCGTTGATTCAACATTTCTTAGGTATCCATTCATGACAGAGATGCCCCATTACATGACCTCACCCATGGTTTTGGCATCAGCTAGTACATTCTTCATGGTAACATGGTCTATAACAACAACTTCCTCCACGCCAGGCAGCCAACATAGCGCAACCCCTATCAAGCCTTGATTTTAGCCTGTACCAGAAAAATGCGAGGGACTCGTCTTAAAAATCATCATTAAGATCGTCCAGAAAGGAATAACAATTTTTGTGCAATCAACCTTAACTTTCTAGACAGGTGGGTGTTCTGCCTAATTAAACAACATATTCAAGGTATAGGTGATTTTCATTCAGAAATCAAAGTGGCATTTGCACATTTTTGGATACCAGCAAAACGGATAATTTTAATGCAAAGCATTACTAGAAATATGAATTACACACAAAGATACAAGAAAACAAGAGAAATCAAACTAGGGGACTACAATTCAGAGAAGCAAATGCAAGCAGTTCCTGGTCATGTTCAAACAAGGCCATAACTTCTTCCCTCAGGATCACCGATTCCTCTATTCCCTCACCTTCTTTTGTATCCATCAATACGACATAATTATTCACTCCTACAGGAGGAATACTTACCCGACTTGGCTTTTCCCACCCAAAATCACCTTCATATAATGGGAATTTGCACAAGCTAGTGAAAGAGTAGACATCTATCTCACCGCTTTGAAATAAAGCTCTCCTACCTCTTTAAAGAAGTTGAAAATGAAAGAAGACGCCTCGTTCCCTTGAAGTTTCTCTTCAAACATTTTAGTGGCTTCTTTTAACTTTGTCCTAAGTTGATTGACCAAGACGGATAATTGAATCTCTCCATCTCCAATATGTGCAAACCATCAGCCATAAATGGTTCCCCATTGCGTTCTCTAAGACAATTTTCCTTCGTAGGTTCACAGGTTGGTAGATTGAGGATGGTTTGGAAGAACCACTATTCGATCTTGATGCAGCCACTGCATACTTCCATATGAGTGCAGTCACACCTTCAACGCCAGATGGGTGCTTGACACTTTCACTGGCGGCTTTAGCTTTGATTTCTGCTATCTTTGAGGAATGAAACACAAACCTTCTCATTGCACACTTACAGTTTGGGTCCGTTACCTTTACAACTTGGAGAGGGAGCTGATCAAAAAGGGAGAAAAGAGATAATGCTCTCGTAAAGTCTGGAGGGAACAAGCAAGTGGGATCTCCTTTATAAATGGTTGCCCAGCTTCTTACAAATGCATCAGAAGAGCCTGCATCTAAGACCTTGTGAGAAAACCAAATGCCAATTGCCTATCCACCACAGTTGAAGAAGCTAACTTGAACATTCACAAGAGGACCTTCGTTAGTAGCGGCTCCAGAAAACGTTGTATAATCATTAGGAAGAATTTCCTGAGTAACTCAAGTTTTGGTTGTTGAAGAAAGTTTGAGAAGGAGCAGTTAACTTGAACTTCAATATAATTGTTCCCATCATCGTTGCATTCCACCCAGGCATTTTCCTTTATTCTTCCAGCAAGTGGTAGAAAAGAGTAAGAACTTGAGATAGGGATGATTTTAGGAGCTGAGATCTTTGGCCATGATCATCATCATCGTCATTTTGGGTGTAGAAAAGAACCAAAGGTGTGTAAATATCTGCAAAAACCTGGTCAAAAAGGGAAAGCTGGCGACCTTTGAGGTTAGGAGGAGTTGGAGAGAAGATGGTTTGATGATTTCTTTGATTCTCACATCAAAAGTGATTGTATGAGTATCAGCCATTTCCAACAGTCTCTATGGTCTAATGATTTCCTTTCATGCTCTTTTGGACTGCCTCTTATATAGATATGGCTTAGGGGAGGAAAGGTTTACTTCTTCATCACTATGATGCAGAAACCTGTAACTGCAACTTCCACAATCCAAATTCGAAGCTGAAAAAAAAGGGAAGAGTAAAAACTGGGTTGATTCACACACAAGCAATGAAGCATATGGAGAAGGAATTATGAGAAAGATACACATATGGAAGGAATTATTAGAGGAGGCCTTCATCATGCCATTCCAACCAAAGGGGGAGACGTGATTAATTAAGAATGACATTATTCCCAATCTCATTGCGGAGAATCATTAAAAGAAGATTCATTTAACTTTTTAAAAGCACGAAGCTGCAATTTTTCTTAAATTTGAAGCATTTGGAGAAAGCGACTAAATTAAATGAATTAACAACATGAATTTATATAAAATCGTAGATTTAGGAGCTTAACAGCAAAACTATTTCTTGATCAAGCTAGGGACTGCAACTTAAAGAAGCGAAGGTAAGCAGTTCCTGATCGTGTTTGAACAAGGCCATATCTTCCTTCGTCAGGGTCACCCAGGCTTCTATCCCCTCACCCTCTTTTGTATCCATCAATACAATGTTGTTGTTCACTGCTACTGGAGGGGTACTTACCCAGCTTGGCTTTCCCCACCCAAAATCAGCTTCATAAAATGGGAATTTGCACCAGCTGCTGAAAGTGTATGCATCTATATCCTCCCCTTTGATAAAAAGCTCTCCCAACTCTTTATAGAACCCGAAAATGATCGAAGATACCTCTGCCCCTCCTCGAAGTTTTTCTTCAAACATTTTTGTGGCTTCCTCTAACTTCATCCTAAGTTGATCCACCAAGACTGGTAATTGGATCTCAGTACCATCTCCAATCTGTGCGACAAACACCCCTAAAAGATTCCCCATTGAGTTGTCCGATCCGATTCTCTTTCGAACGTTCACAGGTTGGTGCACTGCTGATGGTTTGGGAGACCTGTAATTCGATCTTGATACAGCCATTGCCCACTTCCATATGAGTGCAGTGACAACTTCCACGCGAGATGGTTGCGGGACTCTTTCACTAGCAGCTTTAGCTTTGAGTTCTGCTATTTTTGAGGAGTGAAACACAAACGTTTTCATTACATACTTATATTTTGGGTTGGGAAGCTCCACAACTTTGAGTGGGATTTCTGAAGGGGAGAAAAGAGATGGTTGATGAGCTGAATTTATATATATATTAATGTGAAATTTTTATCTTGATATTATTAATATTTGAATGAATTTTATGAAAATTTACATGAGTTTCATTCTTTGTGCAGAAAAAGATTTGCATGCATAATAATAGGAGTTTTTGGAATTAATTGAATATCTTTTGAAAGTTGAGGGACTGAACTGCAAGAAGAAAGAGGCTCTTTTGGGATCTAAATGAATGAATCTTAAGTTTTGGGATTTAACCCTAATCGTATAAAACTTGGAGGATCAGATCTGCAATTTTACCATTAAAGAAATTGCAAAAAGAAGCCGGAACCCCGACACGGGTGTGGTGTCGACATTACACGTCAAGCGACCAGAATTTGAGTGTCTGTTTCCTGTTATGTGTCGACACCTAGCTCAAGATACGTTCAGCTTCCAAAAATTCAAATTTCTTATTTTGTTTCAAATCCTATTTATTTTTTAATAGGGTTTCTTAAACCCTATAAATACCCATTCAAAAATAAGAGTGAGGGCTTTTGAGAAAAAACCAAGAGAAACGACTAAGAACAATTCAACAACAAAAAGAGATCAAGGCTTAAGATTTTATATTGTTAAATTAATTTTGTTAGTTTATGAATTTTATTTTATGATGTTGGATACTCACATATTTATCGTGGGATTGTTGATTTTTTTCTTTAATTATGAACTGATTTAATTATCTAAGATTACGATATAACTTGATCAATTTAATATAGAAATTTATGATTTTTATACTTTCAAGATTTATTATTTTATATAGAGTATATATTATTATTTTTAATCCTTTTTAATGTTTTACAACCATTAAAACTGATTTGGAGAGCATAATTGAGACTGAGAGGAGATTTTATGCAATAACTTCTAGTAATATATACCATGAATTGAATAAAAGTCAAAGATGAACTAACGTGATTCGTGCAGCATTAGTGATAAGTGGACTTAATTTTCTACGTAAATTAAAGAGTTTCACAAAATATAATGCATTTTTATCTATTTAAATTCATATAGAGACATAGTGAGTTAATAAGTGAAATAAATTTGATATAACTTGAGAAAGTATATAAGATAGGATAGGGAATCCCACTGTCACATAAATAATAAATACATTGGAAGTATATTAATATAAATTTTATATTAGTTGATTAATTATGGTGAAATCAGATGCCTTAAAATTTTAACTCTTAGTATTATTGAAAGTCAATTTAGTTTTTCTTTAATTAGTTTATTTATTTAATTTATTCAAATAATTTAATTTCAATTATTTAAATAAAATTAGAATTAATTTATTTAAATAAAATTAGAATTAATCAATTTTAGTATTTAATTAGTCTACAGTCTCTGTGAGACGATATTCTATTTTATCATTACATTACTTGAATTGATTAGTAAACTTGCTAGAGTGGAATTAGCTCATCAATGGTGCAACGGTGTAGTCAGGAGGGAACAAGTGACTGGGATCCCCTCTACAAATAGCCGCCCATCTGTTCATGAATGCGGAGAAGGAGGCTACATCTAAAACCTTGTGAGAAAACCAAATTCCAATTGCCAATCCATCGCAGCTGAAAAAGCTAACGTGGATACTAATAAGAGGACCATTGTTAGCAGCAGCTCCAGAAAATGTGGTAGAATCAACAGGAGGAAATTTTATGAGTAACGCAAGATTTAGTTGTTGAAGAATCTCAGAGATAGAACAATCAACTTGAGCTTCGGTATGGTCGATTCCTTCATCATTGCATTCCACCCAGGCATTGTCCTTAATTCTTCCAGCGAGAGGATAGAACTGAGAGAGAACATTAGATAGGGACGATTTTAGGATTTGGGATCTTTGGCCAAGACCATCACCATCACTTTGAGAGTAGAAAAAAACCAAAGGAACATAAACATCAACCATGAGCTGGTCAAAAAAGAAAAGCTGGAGACGTTCAAGATGAGGAGGAGTTGGAGAAGATGGTTTAATGATTTGTTTGATTCTCACATCAAAAGTGATTGTTCGAGAATCAGCCATTTTCGACCATCCCTCTGGAGTCTTGGTCTCCAATGATTTCTTTTCTTGTACTTGTCACAATATTAGTATTTATTTTATAATATTATGTTCACATTATAATTCATTATATGCATTTAAGTTAATTAGTTTAATTTTGTACTTAGAAATATTTTTTTTGTATAATTTAAATAAATTGGTTTTATACTTAAAAATATTTTTTATATAATTTTATACATAAAAATATTTTATTATATAAATTTATATGTAAGACCTTTATCTTTATTTTTTTTATATTAACATCTCGATATCTAGTAATCACATTGAATTCTAACTAATTTAGATTCGAGATATATCAGATCTCATTAGAGGAGAAACCCTTATAGTATCTGTTTTTCTACTCAAAAGATTTGAACTCGAAACTTTATTTTAGAAAAATTAAATTTTTTCCATTCAAACTAACAAGTTATTGGTATATATAAGATCTTTTTATATATACCAACAATAAGAAAGTAATAAATCTTTTTTCAAATATTTCTTTTTCTTTTCTATTCTAACATAACTCAAGGATAAAGTTGTCAATTCAATTGAAGGAAAACGTGACACTACGGCCAGAGACTTCCATTCATGTGCTTCTCGTTTTGCAGAATTCGAGCTTGGTTCTAGTAGAATGTAATTAATTTGGAATATGATTGACACACACCCATTCATACCACACTGCTGTTACACACTCTTTTTTTTTGTTAATTTTCACACTCCGTTAATCTCCATTTCACTCACACCGTGATCCCTCCTTCTTCCCTTTTTTTTTTTTCTCCCGGGTTCTCGAGAGAACCCAGACCTGGGTTCTCCGAGAAGAACCCAAATTGGGTTCTGCAACCCAGACACAGCATTGGGGTTCTGCATCTGGGTTACAGAACCCAGATCGGGTTATGCAAGAACCCAGATCGGGTTCTTCGGATACTCTCCAACATTTTAAGCAACATTAGACCTCATTAAATGAAGAAAAATGCTAAATTAATTGATGTAAGCCCAATTGAAACTGTCCCAGAAAATCAATTCCCAATTACAGACATTTCAACAACGTAAAATGCAAACTACCAGAAAAGCATTTCAAGTTTAACGCCAGTTAATCAGCTATAAGGAACCAAAAACTAGTTACAAAACCCATTGGCAAAAGCAAACAAGAAAGCATCTTACATACATTCCTAACATAAAGTCGTACCAACAAGAAGCACGAGACGCTTGGCAAGGGACCTGAAGCACGGAGTGACGAGATCCATTCCATGAACAATGGGGGTCTTGAAGTAGATGTCGAAGATGCTGAGCTTCCCCTTCTCTCTCCATTCTCCATTGTCGGCTATCTCTTCCTTCTCTGATGTCAATTCTCTTCTTGCCCTTTGATCTCCCTCGTTGGCTCAAGCCTTTCCTCTCTAGTCTAGCTGTTTTCCTTTCCATAAAATCCACTACCAATCTCTATCCTCAACAGATCTTGGCATCCTTTCACCCTTGCCTCTCTCTTTCTCTCCGTTGCTAAGCCTTTCATTCATGCCTTCTTCCTCATCTAATTGAACCATGGAATGTCTAATGTTCTAGATCTAGGTTTGCAAGAACCCGATCTGGGTTCTAGGAGTGGAGAAGAGGAGGAAGGAGAGGGGGAGGAGAGAGAAAGAAAATCAAAGAACCAGGGCTAGGTAAAGAGGAGAGCCACTGGGTTAACCAAAGAAACGGAGATAAACGGAGACAAACGGAGATGGAGTGTGTGTGACGGAGGGTGTGACAACGGAGTGTGTAGTCATCATTTTCCAATTAATTTAGTTGAATGCTTTTGTTCGTAGTTGAAGGATTAGTTTATGTTTGATATGAAAGCTGTCCTTTGTTTTTGTAAGACTCGACATGATATGAGGTGTTGGGAATTTCGAACACCACAATCCCACACAAACGAAAGCGATAAAGAAATTGAGATAATAATTTAACGTGGTTCGATTTGTACACCTCTCAACAAGTCTACGTCCACGGGAAATAGAGAAATAAATCCACTATTAAGAAAAAGAGTACAATAATTTAGAAGCTCTCTCACTCAACAAGCACTCAACACCTTAGCTTTAATGTATAGAAACTCCCAAATTCTCCCTAATACTCCCTCTTAATCTACACAAGGATTTATCATAATTGCTCTCTTTCTTTTCTCTCATAAGAGCTCTCACTCAATTTCTCTTGCTTTCTTCTACTCTTGCTTGCCCATTGCCTTTGCATGCATGGGTATTTATAGTGAAAAATCCAACTACCCATGCACCATTTTTCTTTGCCTTCATTACCATCAGGCCAAGATTTTCTTTGCCCATTAAATGGCTCAACATGCAATCTTTGAAAGATTTCAACAAATCAATCTAGCCCACAATTGGCTTATAGGCCGGTGAAGCAAACTTCCACATGGAAAGTCCATGTGTTCACATGCATGGGGTTGGACTTTCTTCCAACAATCTCCCCCTCCAACCCCATGGGAGGAGAAACCAACCATGACTCCAGCTCCCCCTACTCAAGAGCACTGTATCATGATGTCCTATTTTTGAAAGTTTCCTTCTAGTATAGGATAGGACAAACCTACACTAGGTGTACTATGGAAATTAATTTTGAACCAAAATATGATTCGAGGGAAAATCACACCTCCTTGAACTATCATCAAACACCACTTCATTGTTGAAGCTCACCTTCTTCTTGGTCTTATTAATTTCCTTGCCATCTACCAAGATCCCTTTAGGCTTCCACACCATCTTCCTCATGGTTTTGTTGAGCCTTCTCTCGGGATGTTGCTCAAGCACATAGATGTTGCTCAAGCACATAGATGTTGTGCTTGTTCTTTCTCCCACGCAAGACAAGTCTTCCACCTTTGTAGACCTTGCACCATTCTTGTTTTCCGACATACTTGCACCCTCGTGTTGTCAACTCACTCAAAGCAATAATGTTGCTAGAACACTTGGGCACATATCTCACATTCTTGAGAATCTTGGCTCTCCCATTGTGAACATTGAGATAAACATCTCCTATGCCTTCAATATTCACCTTCTCACTGGTAGCCACTGTTATTTTGCCAAGCTCCCCTTAAACCAAACTCCCAAATTCCAAAGGATTATTGCACACATGCATGGTTGCAACGGAGTCCAAAATCCATCTTTGATTGTTTTGCTCCACCTCAAGATCACACTCTTCACAAGCTAATACTTCAACCACATTTTCTTCAACAATATTAGCCTCCCCCTTGCCCTTGGTTTCTTGACTTTTCATCAATATTTTCATATTAGAAAAGTCCTCCTTAAAGTTCGGGCATTTATACTGTTTGTGACCCAACTCACCACAATAAAAACACTGCACTTCACCATAATCCTTTTTAGGTCTGGATTTCGACCTTTCTCGATTTCCTCCACCTCCACGTCCATTGGATCTTCCCCGAGAGTGCTCCATCACCAAAGCATTAGTTTGATTGGCACCATCATCCTCCCCAAAAAACTTATCATTCTCCAACAACATGGATGTGACATCTTTCATCACCAAAGTAGTCTTACCCACTAGCATACTCTAGACTAGGGACTTGTAAGACTTTGGCAAGGATTCAAGTAAAAGCAAGGCCTTCTCCTCTTCTTCTAGAATGTCCCCGGCATTCACTACTTGTGTCACCATCATGTTGAAATTAGATAAGTGCTTATGAATATTTGTGCCTTCTGCCATCTTCAATTGATATAGCTCCATCTTTAAACACAGCCGATTGGTTAAAGATTTTGAAGCATGTATCTCTTCAAGCTTCTTCCACATACCTATTGGAGTAGTCTCTAAAAGGACGTTGTATTTCACCTCCGGTGCAAGCGCCAGCCGAATTTGACTTGCTGCCTTCTTCTCGATAGTACTCCATTCACTATTCCTCACCTCAGCTGGCTTGGTCTCTTCTAAAGCTGCATCAAGTCCTTGACAAGTAAGGACATCCTTCACAGTGCTTTGCCATAGAGCAAAGTCATTCTTGCCATCAAATAGCTCAATTGAATACTTCGTGGCTTCAATTTGCATTTCGCCACAACACCAGGAGCTCTACCAATAGCTCTGATACCACTTGTTGGGAATTTCGAACACCACAATCCCACATAAACGGAAGCAATAAAGAAATTGAGATAATAATTTAACGTGGTTCAACTTGTACACCTCTCAACAAGTCTACGTCCACGGGAAAGAGAGAAATAAATCCACTATTAAGAAAAAGAGTACAATAATTTAGAAGCTCTCTCACTCAACAAGCACTCAACACCTTAGCTTCAATGTATAGAAGCTCTCAAATTCTCCCTAATACTCCCTCTTAATCTACACAAGGATTTCTCATAATTTCTCTCTTTCTTTTCTCTCACAAGAGCTCTCACTCAATTTCTCTTGCTTTCTCCTACTCTTGCTTGCCCATTGCCTTTGCATGCATGGGTATTTATAGTGAAAAATCCAACTACCATGCACCATTTTTCTTTGCCTTCATTACCATCCGGCCAAGATTTTCTTTGCCCATTAAATGGCTCAACATGCAATCTTTGAAAGATTTCAACAAATCAATCTAGCCCACAATTGGCTTATAGGCCAGTGAAGCAAACTTCCACATGGAAAGTCCATGTGTTCACATGCATGGGGTTGGACTTTCTTCCAACATGAGGGATCCTTGTTCTAGGCATCAGATAAAGTTTCCTTAGATTAACCAAAATTGAACATTAGCTCATCTTTTGTGATGCTGTAAGCATATACATCAGTAGTAAAATGACATGAACAAATGTTCTTCTCTTTCACAAGTTCTTTCTCCTATCTAATACCTGAAAAATTACTGATTCGTCTGTCCTACATATCTATGGAGATCACAGTGGAAAGCACTCAAAGTATGGTAGCCTGACATTGACAAGGGAGATAAATCCCTCCACGTGAATACAGAACTGTAGGCGTTGTGTTAATGAAGTTTTACCTAATAAAAAGGGTAAAATGATCAGTGTGGTTGCAAAGAATTGGCAATCTTAATTAAACGCCAGAATTATGGCTTGCTAGATGTCACTAGCTGCTCTCGTTTTACGCGCGACTGCAAGACCAAACCAAAGCTATTAAAAGAATATATATTACTGGTAAAGGTATGAGAATGCAGCCGTGGAAAGCCTGCTGAAAACCATGTCCCTCCACATGACCAGTACAACAAAATAAACAATTTGAGGGCGGGAACACCTAAAATAGAAAGGATTATTGACTACATAAATCGGTAAAACTCTATGTTAGAACCCCAAACTTACCTAAAATTCTTGATTAAACCCTTAAACTTTTATTAAAACAAATAAACTCTTAAACTTGGCATTTAGGCAATTTAACTCTTTTTTTTTTTTTTATAACAGACTTAATGCTCATTTGTGGTCTGGTTATGTAGACAAAGTATTGACATGTCATTACTAACATGATGAATATTGACCTTCTTCATGCAAATAAGATCTAAATAGACATTAAATTCATTATAAAAGAATATATATTACTTGTAAAGGTATGAGAATACAACCGTGGAAAGTCTGTTGAAAAACATGCTCCTTCACATGACCAACACAACAAAATAAACAATTTGTTTGTGAGAACACCTAAAATACAAAAGACAACTGGCTACATAGATCGACAAAACCTTATGTTAAAACCCCAAACTTACCTAAAATTCTTGATTAAACCCTTAAACTTTTATGAAAATAAATAAACTCTTAAACTTGGTAATCTAAGCAATTTAACTCTCTTTTTTTATAGCAGAGTTAATGCTCATTTGTAATCTGCTTGTGTAGGTAAAGTATTAACATGTCACTATTGATGTGACAGGTATTGACTTTTTCTATGCAAATAAGGCCTAAACAAACAATAAGTTCATTATAAAAATAATTATATTATCTAAATTATCAAATTTAAGGGTTTATTTACTTTAATTAAAATATAAGAATTTAATCGAGAATTTAAAGTAAATTTGGGGGTTTAATGTAGAGTTTTGACTATATTTAATACTAGATAAAGGAGATGAATTACCATATAACATCCAATAAGAGTTTAGGTGAATTAGTATTTACTAAGTTAAAATGAAGATTAAAAATTTAAATTTTTGTAAAATTTAAGCAGCTCTTTTTTCCATAAATATATATATATATATATATCATGCATCAAATTTTGTAAGAGCTCCCATAACATGCTTTTACGGTTGGATGCCCCAGATTTATTTAATATATCATGTATAGTTAATACTCAACTTGTTGGAATAATAGCAGGAAATAAGAGAGAAATAAGGAAAGTAT